TTTCTGAAGAAGGGTCTAGGCCCGAAACGTCAGCCTTCCTGCTCCTATGATGCTGCTTGGCCTGTTGTGTTCATCCAGCTCTACGCCTTGTTGTCTCAGATTCTCCAGCATCTGCAGTTCCTACTATCCCTTGTCATTCAGATTGATGATTTAGTCCTTTTTGTTCAGTTTTACAGCAATAAATGGCAACAATATGTTCCTTTGTTCAGATAGGCATTGTCATAGAAATCTCATTTGGTGGAGTACAAGCTGTTGTTCTTGTCTCTATTGTAATTCCATTTCTTTGAATACCACCCAGGACAAAGCAGCACATTTGATTGGCACCCTTTCAACTACCTTATAAGAACCACCCCTTCCACCACCTGTGCACGGTGGCAGCAGTGCATACCATCAATAAATTAAATGGTAGCAACTCACCAAGGCTTCTTTGGCATCTTCCAAACCTACCGCCTTCAGCATCAGATACATGGGAACATAGCCAAGCTCCCCTCCAAGCCACGTACCAATCTGAACTCGAAAAATATTGCTGTTCCCTCACTGTCACTAGACAAAATCCTGGAGCAGCCTTCCTAACAGCACTGTGTGTATCTCCATGAAATGGGCTGCAATGGTTCAAAAAGGTGGCTTGCTCCCTTGAGGGCACTGACAAAAGGCCAGTGATGCTGTTTATCCCATCAAAGTACCAGAAAAAAAACTTGCAACCTATAGGAGACTGTTCCATAGGCCCATCATCCCGTGGGAGAAAAAGGTTCTCTTGATCCTCATCCATGCTTTGTTTGTATTTGACGTGCTCAGTTCCGTGTCCAAATTGAATGACTTGTTTCATCCCATCGTTTGAACACGTATTATATTTCTCTGCAATCATTTAGGTGACGGATATAGGTCTGGGCAGTTATTTGCTTAATGTATTCTTCACGAGCCAGTCTATTGGGGCTAGCTAACTCTACTTTAAGCCATTTAAGTTATATTAACATACTTTTCAGATAGGACGCCCAAAGCTGAATACCAAGTCCTACTGTATGACCTCAACATTTATGATTACGATGCCCATAAAACATGCCACATGCCTTCCAGATATCCCAGTGCCAAATTACTTGTGGTTAGTTTTAGTTCCATTTCCCTACATCTATATACCATACAATTCACTTCTTATTGCTGTGCACTTCTTTTGTATTTTTGAGATACTGGACCCTCCCATTGTTGGTACACTATGGTGATTTACAGAACTTATCTGCCCAAAAAACCCACTCTCTTGGCTTACCTGGTGTTGATAACCTATTATTGTTAATTAACCATTTAAGTATTCCAATTACTCAATTTATCTTCAGTTGTCACCGTAACCAATGAAAAAATTAGTCATGTTTGTCATTGTTCCTTATAAACCATTGTACACCACCTTTTATCTATTTGTTTGAAGGAATGAAAACAATCAATATTCTCTCACTCATCCAGTACTTTATTCCATCCCATAGAGTGCTTTGGTAGATCTTTATACTGTTGTCAGTTTTGTTTTTTTTGGCCTCTGTTGTCTTCCATTTTTCCAGTTTTAATCCTCCCCGTCACCACAGTGAAAACATTGCCAGTACAGTTCAGATGAAGCCCATATCCTCTGAAAAAGTGTACTATGTACCCAAATGTTGTCCTATACAGGCTTCTTTTAAACCTCTGGCCCAACTTGTCTCTCTTTAGAGCCTTTACTGCCATTTAACTCCTTCCACTCCAGATAGCAGGACCTCCACAGTTCAGTGCTTGCGCCTGCCTATCCCAAACACTTCCACCTTTGCATGTTGCTCCCAACCTTAAACAGCTTTCCAGAACCCAGCTTCCTGACTGTACTTGCAGTTCTACAGGCATAGAAATTAGGAGCAGGTGTAGTCCATGCGTTCCCTCAAGTCTGCTCCAGGGTTTGATGTTATGAATGACCTGATTGTGGCCTCAACTGCATTTTCTTACCCATCCCCAACAGCTTTCAATTTCTTTTGTCAGTTAAGAATCTATCTATCTCAGCCTTAAAAATATTCAATGACCCTGTTTCCATTGATCCCTGAGGAAGAGAGCGCAACAGACTAATGACCCTCAGAAGATATCTCCTAATCGCTTAAATGGTAGACCCTTATTTTAAAATTTTACTCATAGTTCTATCTTTCTGTGAAGAGTGGAAACATCCTTTCAGCATCCATCCTGTCGAGTCCTCTCGGGCTTTCTGTTTCAGTAAGACTGCCTCCTATTCTGCCAAATTCCAGTGAGTCCAGGTCCAACCTGTCCAATCTTTTCTTTCCTCATGAGTATTTTGTAAGTAGATAGGTGAAAACTGTGTACATAACATCAGATGCCATATCACTAGTTCCATGTACATCTTAGCAAAATGTTAACGACTTTTATGTTCCATTCCTCTTGTAATAAATAACAACATTCCATTTGTGCCATCATACTAACATTTTGTGATTCATGTATCAGGACACTTACATTCCTTTATGATGCAGACTTCTACAGTCTCTTTCCATTCAAATGATAAGCTGTTTCTCTACTCTTCTTGTCATTGTAGACTCCATCTGCCAAGTTATTGCCCACTCACTTGACCAATTTATATCCATTTGTAGGCTTCCTTATGTTATTTTACAACCTCTATTTCAACATCTCTATGCGTAGAGTTGGTGAATTTGAAGTTGCCAGTTATCAATGTGATTGTCTTTCCATTGTGGAATAGTTATATCATTTTCAGTTGTCTTGACCAGGCAAAGTTGTCCTTTGAGGTAAGACATTGGACATAGATTGTTTCAGCATCCTAATTTTTTTGGTTTAAAAATGAATCACACGAGCAAGATAAAATACTCTACTTGTATTTTAATTTGAAAGTTTGAAAAAGATTTTGTGCAATTTCATACAGTTCAGTTTTTAAAATTGAATTGAGCTAATTCATATCCTAATTAAAGTTTAATCATTTGGAACTCATGAAATTGAGAAAATGTGCTTTAAATGTTACATCAGTAGTTGTTTCTATTTGTGTATTACTGTAAAGGTTGCCAGGACTTCAATTTTGAGAACCTAGCCTGACTTGTGCAGGAGGCATTGGACTGTGGGTAGTGTGTGGAGACAGAGAAATTAGCTTTCTAAAGTCTTGTGAACTGGCATGAGGGGTTGAATCTGTTCAACATTATCAAATTTAGGCCTTTGGGGTTTCCGGAGCAGTTAATGTGATGAGTTTTGAATTCTAGAAACAGGAGTTTCTATGGAAAATGTCAGTCAATACAGTGTGAACTGGAGGAACACAGGTCAGGCAGCATCAGTGGAGCAGGAAAGCCGACTTTTTGGGCCGGGACCCTCCTTCAGTCCTGATGAAGGGTCCCGACCCAAAATGTCAACAGAGTATCAACTGAGTTTCTAAAGACAGTGTGTTTATCATTTAATGGAAAGACTAGAGAGAGGCAATATAAACTAAATGGCACTGTTCAAATAAGTGTACAGGGAGAACTCCAGGTTTGCTAATACAGATTTATAAAGTGGTAGGAAAAAACAAATGGGATCTTGGACTTCAAAAGTAGAGGTATTGACTGCCAAAGTAGGGAGATTATGCTGAACTTGTATATAGTTCTGTTTTATGTAACTAGAGTATTGTATTCAATTCTGTTTTATAATGATTGGCACTTGTGGATGAAATTGACCAAGTTTTATATCCACGTAAATTACACTTTCAATCAGAATGAGCAGTTTTCTCTTGTTGAATGACAGTTCACATTTCTGCTTCCCCAGGGTTCCGGGAATTGCAGTGTTGATTGGATAATGAAACTTAACTGTGTAAAAGTGAAAATGCATAACATCCATTGATGAACATTGAAGAGGTCACCAAGTTGAGTCTAGTGAGATGCAACAGAACTCTTCAAATACAGTTATCATATGGAAAAGCCAAAAGCTTGCGTCATTGCTGGTTTCTGCAATAAAAGCAGAAAATGCTGAAAAACTCAACTGGTCAGGCATCACTAGTGGAGA